GTGCCGGGCAGCTGCTTTGTGCTGGGGCCGCCCCTGCCCGCGCTCAGCCCGCCCCGGCCTCTCAATGCAGCCTTTCTTCGCTGCCTGCGGAAAGCCACTTCCTCCAGCAGCGCTAGCCTTAAAAATAAAGCCCTGGAGTAATTTTGGGCTGGGCGTTTTGGTGCCTGCCGCCTCCCTGGGGGCCGGGGCCGGCCGGCGAGGGGCCGGGAGCGGCGCGGGCGCATAAAGCCCCGTCTGTGGCCGCGGGGACGGGCGCCGTCTCGCCCCCGCGGCGGCCGCCGCTCGCGGCTCTGCCCTGCCGCCCTCAGCCCCGGCGGGCCCCGGGTGCCCCCGCTGCCGTGTTGTGGTCCCCAAGGCTGCTCTCCACGTGGGACGTGAGGCCAGCCTGGCTTCTGCTGTGTGCTCTGCAGGGAGGGGTGTCAGCTCCCTCTCAGTGGGGCACAACAGGGACACAGCCAGGCTCTCCTCCCTGCTCCGGTGAATCACTTACCTCCTTCTAGAGGACTAGATGATCTCTAGAGGTCCCTTCCAACCTTGAATATTCTGTGATTCTACTCCCTCTGCTCTGTCCATCTGGGCAAAGGGAGATCCAGGGCACTCAGTGGAAGGGGCTCCTCAGGACTGGAGCTGCATTTTCAGCCTCACAGCCTATAGGACACCAGTGTCTGTGGCTTGGGACAGAGACACTCACAATAAGCAGCCTCCCCCAGGTCACTCCATGCTGGAGAGGGCATGAGCATGGGGCTCACATGAAGGCAACTGGCGAATTAATTTCCTCCTAATGAAGTGAGGGCTTCCTCCGTGGCAGCTGTGACTGCTGAGGTGATTGAGGCAGGGCCGGCTGCTCCCCTTGTTGCCCTTTGCTGGGGTTGCAAAGCCCTGGCGAGGGATCGGCCTCCCAGGTCACCGGTGCTCCTGACAGCCTGGGTGCCAGAGATCCCCCAGCATGGCTCAATCTCTCAGCTGAGGCACAAAAACTGAGAGCACATTGACAGTCCTGGTGCTTTGTCACGCTCCTGGCTTCCCTTTTCCACCCCTGGGGCATCCAGCCTGAGCCCTGGCACCTGGAGGTGCCCTGGGGAGGCCCCTTTGCAGGCCCAGGCAGCCGGGCACGGGACTGTTCCTCTGCCGAGCCCTGTATCTAATCTGAGCCGAGTCCCGTGCTCAGCTCGTGGCCCGCGGGGCTGCAAAGGGCGCCCGGGTCAGGAGAGCCGCTCTCCATTCTGGTCGCTGCCAAGGTGCTGGGCATGTGCGAGGCAGCGGGACGAGGGGTGAGGGCAGCGCTGGAGGCTGCTGCGGAGATGGATGGCTCCTGCTAGCGCTGCCTGCCTCGTTAGGGCTGTGCCCGGCTCGCCAGCCTGCTCCTAATCGCCTTAGTGCCTTGCTCGCCCAGACACGGGGCCGGCGCTGCAGCTGCCGCTGCTGCACCGCCTGGGAGCCTGTGCTGTGCTCCCCGTGCGGGCGGCGGGCACCTGGCCTCCCTGCGCCCCCCGAGCCTCCCTGCGCCCCCCGAGCCTCCCTGCGCCCCCCCGAGCCTCCCTG